AACACTTGATGTTTTTATCCTGAATGTTTCTTATGCTGATGCTAATCTATGTTGTGCAGACAAATTCAAGAAGAGGGAGTACCTAGCTCCAGACATGGCCTCCATCTTGAAGGCCACTTCTACTGCAAATGCGAGGCCTCTGAAGCCTGGGTTCAGTGGAGCAAAGGAAGTTCGAGGCAGGGTTGAGCGCCTGTCGAAGGACTGCACTACCAGGGCCTTGGAGGAGGCATCTACTCAGAGGCCAGAGAAGCCTAAGGAGCCTCGGGGTAAGGAGAAAGTCTCTGAAGAGACTAAGAAGAGGAAGCTGGTGCACATCTCCAGCTCAGCTGGCAAGTTTGGGACTTCAGTGTCCCATAGGGCAGAACAAACTGGAGAGCCGAAACTTCTTGCTGCAACCTCTAAGGCCATCAAGATGGAGATGGTAAGAGAGGTGGAGGCCGAAGAGGCAGCAAGGCGAGCTGCAGAAGCCGTCGAAGAGAAGGCGGCGAAGGAGAAGCCGGTTCGGGAGAAGGGGAAGTCTCCAAACTTCCTAGCTGGGAGGGAGGATGAGCTGGCCCCCGCCTTGGTGGAGGCTCTCCTTGAGGAAATTAGAAGTGTCACCGAGAGCTTTTACAAGTTCTGGACGGAGAGGTGGCAGCTTCATGCCTCGTCTTGTGATGCCACCGACCTCACAAGGGCACCGGTGAGCCAAAGCGCCCGGACCTTCGGCCTCGCGCTCAAATGCAGGGAGGCATTAAGTGAATTCCAGACAAAGACTCACGCCTCGGAGGGGAAGGCTGCCTCCCTTGCAGACGAGGTCAAAGCTGCTAAGGCCGAGGCTGAAGAAGCCAAAGCACAGAGGGTTGAAGAAGCGGCGAAGCTCGAGTCTGCTTTGGTCCAAATTGAGGCCCTAAAGAGGGAAGTATACGAGTCACAGTGCGAGGTGGCCTCCTTGACAAAGAAGGTGGAGGTCTCCAATGAGCACCAAAAGGTGACTGCTGAGGCTCTTGAGCAGGCGAATCTCTCCTTGGCCGGTGCTCGAGATGCCTATCAGTTTCTCGAAGGCCAGGCGAAGTGGTATATGAACGACGCCTCGGTTGCCAGAGAAGAGGCCCGAACTGCCGCGGAAGAGGCGGTGAAGGCATACATCGCCAATTTCCACACTACAGAGGAGTATAAAAGCTTCAGCGCGTACTGGAGGAACTTCGCCTATGCCGAAGTGCTGGAGAGGGCAGAGGAGCTTTATCCCAACTTGGACCTTGCACAACTTAGGTCCGAATTTGTGGATGAGGT